GTATTGACGTTCCGCGGTCGGCGGCAAAAACAACAGCGCGGTCGAACGAATAAAAAAAAAAAATAAATAAAACCGTTCGACGGCGGGCGCGCCGGCCGTACCCGTGCTACGGATATGCCTGCACGGGTTTTGCGTGCGCTGGCGCTACGCGATTGTCACTTCGCGTCGGAATACCGTTCGACGGTTCGCGCCCCGCAGAAACGATTTTCACGCGCGGTAAGTAGCCGTTTATTAAAAATATTGAAATGAAAAAAAAAAAAAAACAACAACAACACGTCGTACTTCTCACCGCGTCGTTCTTCTGCGTCCGTGCCGGGTGCCCCGGCGTTTACCGGCCCCGTCCACCGGTCGCGCTCTCTCTCCCGGACGCCCGCAGAAGTTTAATATTTTTCGAAATCCTAATCACTATACGGCTGATAACCCATAGATTACGATACACGTACGCACTATCAATAACGGCAATACTGATAATTACACCGCTATCCGCCTGTCGGGTTACAATACTCGTAAGATTTGTAACGCCTTGCTGAATTCGTTTCCGTTTTCAACGCGATAAAAGCACACACGACACTGCCTCAGCTCGTACTCTCGTGGATTCACAATGATACACGAATTGCGTTTTCGCGTTTTTACCTACGAACGCATTTTTTTTATGGTAATTTTAAATTTTAAGCGTATTAGTCTTTCGTATGTTTTTTATTGATTTTTCAGACTTTAAAAAGCAAAACCAAAATCTGCAAAGCGAGACATTTTTTTGCAATGGTAATTTATATTTTTAATTTATACTGTAGACTACTTTTATCTCACAACATTGATCGCACCCGTCCCTAGTACCAGCTCTTTTTTTGTGTTGCTGTTATCAATAAATGTGATTTATATACCCGTATGAAAAACAATAATAGTACCGGTGGCGTGCGCAGAGGGGAATAATAGAGGTTATATCCGCACTCTTTTACTTCAAATACAAAAAAAATCCGTAGTTATTCTAGTATCGAAATGTATAGATTTCTTTTTTTTATGATCTGGACTAATTTTTTTTCGGTTAATTATTAACACAATAAAGAAAAACGTTTTTGTAAAAATAAACAAAACGGTTATAATAAAATAGGTACCCAGGTAATGTCAATAAAATAAATAAACATATTATAATTCTCAGTTTATAATTATAAATATAAATATAATAATTCTATTTTTGAATTTATCAAATATTTTCAAAGTTACTTACTATTCAGATAATTTTATTAACTTTGCAACAAGATGGACTCGAAAACGATAATCAACCAAATAAGTGAGTACTTACACATAAATTATATTATCAGCTTACCTACGTTCACAAACGTGTAACAAACCAAATATTAACTTTCAAGTTAACTCTTAAATCCAATTCTTGCGCCGAGTATAGATGACAATAGATAACAATGCCAACCCGGTTAACCATTCATTACCCATGGTTTATCTGAAGTGGTTTTGATAAGTTTCAACTTAAAAATACTCTCTCAGTATGCGCTACAGTGACCGGAATCGTTAGAACGATTCTCTAACTAATCGTTATATTGGGGTAAATCTATTGTAATTTCTCACTATAAATTAGCTCAATATTTTTGTTCCGAGAACTATATGGTTAGACAAAACATTTTTAGTTCTTCATATAGCTCTTTTGCGTCGATAGGTATCAGATATTTAATTTGCTATCAATAAAATAGCGTAACCTGTTCAATGATTTAATAATGTTTTTTGCTCCCAGTTTTTTAATAAATTAATATTGTATAAGAATCTAAAATTTGAACAATGGTGGTTTAACATTGAAATCCGTGTGTTATTATATAGATATACGTTAAATAGTAATAATTTACTGTGTAATACACAATAAGTTAAGATATATCGCGGTGAAATGATCGCGAACAATTGATCGCCGTTGATTGGCGGCTACAAATTGGTGGCCGGTTAAATTGATCGCCAAAAGAAAAAAAACGAATTCTGTAGGTATTAATTTATATCGTCTTCNTCATTTTATTTTATTAGTATTAATACATTATTATTGTATTATTACGGTATTAGTATATGAGTTTAAACCGGAGATAAGTCTACACAAAGCATTAATTTTTTAAGTGACCAATTTGCAGCAGCGATCAATTCACCGGATACAAGATAAATATTTGATACCTACCTACTCAAATAAGCATTGCTCTTAGAGCACTTGTATTGATTTGAAACGTAATATTCATCTTTCGGATTTATTATTAATTATCAACCAGTGATCCGTTGGATTTTGTTTAATTTATTAGTTGTGAATCCTAATACAACGTATTTTCTGTCATAAAAAATGCTGCCTCAGTTTTCATTGAATATGTTTCCGCCTTTAGGAAATGGCTTAACCTGCTTGTGCACTAGCGACGGGCCTGCATACATTCATATGATACATATTCATCGGTTTAGATCAATACCGATATGACTAGTATACCGTCATTTGACGATTGAAACATATACCTTATAGTATTTAAAAGATACTGAATTCGAAAAAGCGGAGTGTTTTTGAATAGTTAAAACCGTATAATATATAAACAGAGAGGGATAATAGGAGCTTTATCCTTTCTTCTTTTATTTAAAATACGAAAAATTATGAGTAGTTAATCTAATATCGAAATGTATAGATTTCTTTTTTTTTATAATCTAGCCTATTTTTTCTTTCGGTTTATTGGTAACAATGGAGCAAAAAATCGTTTGAAAATAAACAAAACGGTTATAGTAGTAATAGGTTCTACGGTAATGCCGCAAACAAAAATAAACTTTAATATTTCACTAAAATAAATCTTTTCGAATAATTTAAAAGTTTCCTACTATTTCAAAAACGATTTCATTTGCGACTCAATGGAAAATAAAACGATGAACAGCCCTATGAGTGAGTACTTACACATAGATTATAATATCAGCTTGCATACAATCTTGTGATACATATTTATCGGTTTAGATCAATACCGATATGACTAGTATACCGTCATTTATCGATTGAAATACATAATAGTATTTAAAGGCTATTGAATTCGAAAAAGCGGCGTGTTTTTGGATAATATAAACCGTATACCATAACTTATACTACTATTCTTCCTGCAACGTGACTTCTCATATATTTCATAATTTTATTGAAAAAACGTTGATTATTGCAATCAAATTTTCTTATGTTTGAAAACCTGGAAAAAAATAATTATAGGTATACGATTAGGATTGACAACTGTATGAATATATATTTGTAATTTATTTTTTTTTAAAAACTACCTAAATTAAAGATTTTCTTACTTTCGACAAGAAGGCTCGGACAAACCAAAAGACTCACAACGGCTTTCTTGTATTTTATGAACATATTCAATGCCTGGACAGGATTTTTATTAGGTTTTTTAATTCCATGTTATTTTCTTCGCAATGAAAAATATTCCAAACAAATATATTTAACGTTGGAACAATCGACGTAGCATATTTAAATCAACGCCGTAATCGGCTTTTATTATAATCGATTTTTTTTTTTTTACTGTAGTATCGTTGAATGAAACGTAATCAAAGATAGGTATATGACATTTTTTCAGAATTATTTAAGCGTTCCCAAGCATAATATAACTTTCTAATCGACTCTATTTGGATTATTAATAATGACTTAACGTTTTTAATAACGTTTTTTTTTTAGGCAAATGCCCGACATACAATAAGGCGGTATCAATCAATGTAAAACCGAGTGTTTTAACAGGGTTCACTGGGATCTCTAAGACTGAGAGCTCTTGGAGACCAGGAAACCATATTTTTACCAACTTTTTAACCTACAAACTGGCACTAGGTTCATTAAGCCAGGTAGAAAACAGGTTCGGTTATGGTGTCACATATTCCAGAAATAAAGAAAGTGCTCCTGAGAACGCCGAAGAGTAAGATTTGACTATAATAATGTTTATTATTACTCACCGCCAAATTCATAATGTTGATTTAATGAACGGTGTGGATTTGTCATGGAAACAATATGATCGAATTATGTTTATTTATTTATACTCTATGCCCCTTATCTCATTGCTCGGACTACTTTTATTGTTAAATCAAATCAAATTATGTAAAAGAATTCAAATTTTGAAAAATTTTTATTTAGAATACGTAATGGAAAAATATTAGTCATGAGTCATAATTCATGGATCATAAATAATTTAAATTGTATGTAGATTATAAGTCGCTAGATATATTGAATTTAAAATCTACTAAAAAAAGATAAAATAACCTATACATTTTGCGACAAGTTAAATTCAAGTAAAATCATAGGGCTACCTACAAATTCAGCTATATTGTGCAATACTAAAAACAATATAAGAAACCCTATTAAAACCAGCCAAATAGTTATATGAGTCAAAAATTAAAAACAAATTTTTTTTCAACGATTAGTTAGGATATTCTTCTTAGCTAATTCACACACAACATAATAAATTTGTTATAAATAATTGTTTACTGGCATTCTTTAGTAATGGTATTAATACGGTCTCCAAACCAACATTTTGTGCCTACTTGGAAACGAACTTGAATAATGATACTTCATATAAGTTATGCCATAACGTGTTTGGCAACTTGTGGGGACAGATCAGTGGCAATGTCCTGGACAATTGGACGAAGAGCAAGATTTCTGGATCCATTGAATTAGCCAACGACAATTTAAACGTGCAGGTGTCGGCCGACGAGGCAACAGACACATCAAATGAGTTAAATATTAACTTTACGAAGCAGATATTTAGCTCCTGTGTAATAGGCGGTCAGTGCACGTTTATAAAAGACAAAAAGTCACCAATACCTATAATGCTTAAAGGTTATGAAGGAATATTGGGATACAGACAAGGTTATATGAGTTATTCAGCCACTCTAAACCAGTCTCTTGCCTCAACCTTGCGGGCCGTAGCACGCTACAATTCCAACTCAACTGCATTAGAAATAAATTCTGAACATGAGAAAAGAGAAATAAAGTGCGTGCTATCGCAACAGGCCGTCGTTACCAAAAATATAGAAGTCAAAGGTGATAATATAAATTATTATAAAGAAGCCGCTTCCCTTAGACGCATTTAGTCTTCTTCTGCTTCTTTGCTTGCATTATTCAAATCGGATGTAAATATAAACAGCTCGTAAATATATGATTCCATATTTTTGCACCTTTTCACTGTCCTATTCAATATGTTTGACAATACTAACTAGGTCATCTATGTTACCTGATTACCTAAGTATACAAGTTTATCTAGTGCATCACAGAACATTGTAAAATCATATAAATCAATAAGTTCTATAATGCAAATACGTGCTAATAACATTACACNCATACACTGTAAAGTTATTATACTTATATATAATTTACGTTTAAACGTACACTACCGTACATCCTCTAACCTCGTAGGTATGGCCTTGGATACCTACATTATGATTGAATCAACAATATCGAAATATTATTATTAACATTGTGTGTCGTATATATACAAAGGTCAATTGGATTCAGATGGGAAATTTGGCGGGAATATTATCTGGAAGTTCATGAAAAACTGTTCAATAACATTCAGTGCTATGTTCAACAACTATATGGATTCTCCGAAAGTGGGAATGGAAATTGCATGCAAATAAACCATCTAATGTTTGTCAAGAAACACTCCGGAATCTGGCTGAATTATATATTGTATACGACCGCCCATGCCGGAGTTATACCTAAACATGGCCACATAAACAAGTTTTTTAATACAGTCGTCGTGCCCCTTCTAATCTCATTCCACCCTAGATTCACCAACTGTGTCTCCTCTACACCATCAAAACCTCCTACCCTCCCAACCCTAAGTATAGTTTTATATTGATACCTCAATATCATATTGTGGTTATTCAAAATTTTTTCTTATCAAGTTATCATATAACGTGTTATCAAAAACCCACGTTTTGGTTCTCCATCACCGTGCCCTGCAACTTCTCCTTATACTCTTTAAGGTATCATAAACAAATTTCATGTTTTTTTCTAAATAATTCTTATATAATGTATCATAAAATATGTGCAAAACTAATTTATCCTTAACATATTAATATTTCTTAAAATTTAAAAACCTTTGTACATCTTTGATAATCACTCTCTTTGCCTATTATTGCAAAATAACTTTCATTATTTATCACACATATATTTACCATTGTAATACTGATGATAAATCAAAAGTAATTTCCCTTAAAATAAAATAAATTCTATTTTGTAACAAATCAAAAAATAGTTTCTTAACACAAAAAAACTAAATGACTTTAAATCACAAATTACATGTTTTTTTCTAAATAATTCTTATAAAATGTATCATCAAATAAGTGCATAGTGCATAACTAATTTATCCTTAACATATCATTAATATTTATAAAAAATTTAAAAATCTTTGCCTTACTCTAAATTTTGTATAAATACTTCTATATCTGTCTTTATATTTTGTCAATAACACGCTCGTCTCACAGGTTTTTTACATTTTTTTATTCCTACATGTCCTTTATGCATCAACATTAATATTTTAAATTTTAAACTCTGCTTCCATAACTTTATGACCTACAATAATTAAATGATCAAATACATTAATTACATCTTTAATTTTCCAATAATGGATTATTATCATTCATATATTCTTCTGTTTTTCTGGCCAATCCTTATAATGTAATTTGATTATTTAACTTCAAACTGAATCCTCTTTTGTTGCCTTTCTTATTTTCTCTTTCGCTAAGCCTGATATTCGCAACAATTCCTGAATTTAATGCGCAACATAATCTATGTCCGTTTTGTTTGTATTTTCATTTTTCAATTATGTTCTTGATAATGTATTTGCTATACACTGATTTTTCCTGGCAATTATTTTAAATAAATATCATAATTAATGAGTTTAGGTGAAATTCTTCATAATTTAACTGACACATCATTTAAGTTTGTACCGAAGGTGATCGGTTGTAAGACAGTGGTTCATTGGGTTATGCGAATACAGAGGGGCGGCTAAGGGCCACTTTGATCGTTTACCTTCGGAAATTTGGATTCTATTTCAAGTCCAAAGTAAACAACAGTCGGCTGCGGGCGGGGATATAATGACATCGGTTCCTGTCTTCTTCTACTTTCAGTCTTCAATCCTTAGATTGGTTTGCTGCAGTTCTCCATGCGACCTTATCGTTACTTAATTCCTTTAGTTCCTTATAACTATTCTTCCCCATGTCAATTATGATTTGCTTCATGTA